ATAAAATAGAAAAAAAATAATTTTTTTAATTGTTTTCTTAAATAAAAGTAACGGATAGCCAAATATGGTTAAAGAATATATGAAAATTAATAATTTTTAATAATAAAGATTTGATAAAAATTAGTGTAACTTTCAAATTTGAACTTATTAAAATAAATTCAACAACTACATTAACTATATAATAAAAATTTAGATTTTTCGTATTTGCTATACTTTGAATTTTTTAAAACGACAATAAATGACTAAAGGTGTTAAAAATTCTCATATTGAAGTTGATTTTACATGTGTTTAGAAATTATAATAGGAAACTATTAGTTCGACATCAAAAATATCTAAAATTTATATAAAATGAAACCAAACAAATAATAATAGTTTTTGGTTATCATCGAAAAAATCAAAAACATCAAACATTTACACCAAACAAACCAAAATAAATATAGATTTAGAATGATATTTATATTTTAGGAGATTAAAAAAACAACGTAAAAATAAACTAATATTCATGCTAAACAGACATAATATCATTTTATCATTAAAGTAATAAAAGTAATAATCTCATTCCGCGCAAGGCGCGGGTTATTACCTAGTCCAAAGTTAAACGTATGTGAGCTATTGGAGCTGCAATAACGATAGATTTAAAATAATTTACCTAACATAGAGAATTTATATGACAATTGTAGGATCATTAAACAAAATTTTAAAATTTTAGAAAAAATAGATCTTCCATCACACGGAGTAGATCCACGAACCAAATGAGCAGGGCCTGGAAAACTTATTAGCCACCATTACATTAATTTTCAATCTCCAATCTTATTCCAAAGTATAGGCCTCTCTGCTTACTTTAGGTGGGACATATAAAGAGGATTCTGATGCTCATTGTCCACCACAAAATAATTAAAAAAAATAAAGAAAGGAAACTCTTTTTTTTTTTTTTTTTTTTTTGTTGAAGCTATCTATCTGCTTCTTGAGGGGATCAAAGGGAAAAGAAAAAAAAAATCATGGCTTCCAATTTTTGGACATCAACGCATTAGTAAAGTTTCAAACTTTCAATCACATATTTACAGATCTTTTTAAATAGATATTGTTCTGTTTCTGTTATCATGTTTCCTTAATTTATTATTTTTGTTTGTTTCTGGGTTTGTTCGGACAGCAAAGAGCTTAAGGACCCAGAAGAGATTAATGTTGTTCATCCACTTGATGCTCAGAGAGGCATCTCTGTTGAAGATTTCAGACTCATTAAGCTTCATATGTCTAATTGTATGTCTTTTGTTTTTTTGATCTTATTGAATCTTGTTGAGTTCTAATGATAGTGTCTTGTCTCCACTCTTTGGTTATAGTTCATTTGTTTCAGTTTTATTCTCTTATGTATTAATCATTAATTTCACATTCTTGTTTTGTTT